TTAGCCAACGATGAGACATAAGTGAACCAACGACGAAGCATTCGAATATTATACGAAATACTCGAATGCTCAAATAATGAAAAATAGAATGATAGAAATAAAATCTGAAAGAAGAAAAATAATTAAATCCTGGAAAAGAGAATAGATTAGACATGAAAATAAAAATTGACAACCCAACGACGAAGCATTCGAATATTGTACGAAATACTCGAATGCTCAAATAATGAAAAATAGAATGATAGAAATAAAATCTGAAAGAAGAAAAATAATTAAATCCTGAAAAATAAAATAAATTAGACATGAAAATAAAAATTGACAACCCAACGACGAAGCATTCGAATATTGTGCGAAATACTCGAATGCTCAAACAATGAAAAATAGAATGAAAGAAATAAAATCTGAAAGAAGAGAAATAATTAGTACCTGAAAGAAAAAATAATTAGTACCTGGAAGAAGAAATAATTAGTACCTGAAAGAAAAAATAATTAGTACGCGGAAGAAAAAATTGTTTAAGAGGTTGGGGTGTGGGTGTAGTGTACAGTAGCTATCGACTAGCCAAAAGGTCTAGTCAACGACCACTGATAACTACAACCTCACTTTCGGAACCCCTTCCCCACCGAAAAAATTTAGACGCGACTCTTAGGAAATCGAACCGACAACTGGCTCGAGCAGCGACGCGGGCCCCTTATATAGCTTCGGCCGGCCGAAGATCGGCGAAAATTTCCGAACTTTATCGATTCCTTTAAAAGTAACTTTTCCGGTGTAATAACTAACAATTTGATAACTTTTTTTACTTTTATCGTTAATATACGTTGCAAACTATTTGTTAGTAACAATTTTAATTTGTTATTGATAGTAAGTTTAACAATTTATTAACTTTATGTAAGTTGTGGATAGATTTTAACACAAACACGTTGTTCGTTCAATTAGTAGCCAATAATTTATTAAGTTTTTTGGCTTCTATCGTTAATATACGTTGCAAACTATTTGTTATTAACAATAAGTTTAATAATTTATTAACTTTTTGCAGAATATTGGTACATTTTGACACAAATACGTTGTATGTACTAATAATATCGAATAATTTATTAATTTTTACACTTTTATTATAAATTTGCATTGTAAACAATCTGTTACTAACAATAATAATTTGTTATTAACAATCAGTGTTACGATTTATAATCTTTTCCCAAATTGTATGTACTTTCTAACACTAGTGCGTTGTGCGTTCAAGTAATTTCCAATAATTTATTAATCTTTTCACTTGTATTATAATATATATTGCGAACAATTTGTTGTTATTAGTAAATTCGATAATTTATACATGTTTTATAAACTAAAACCGTATATTAGACAAAAATCTTTTCTTTTTAGAGAAACTTCCATTTTTCGAAAACTGTAGACGATATACTGGAAGTTCGATTGCGGATGCGTGTTCAGGAAAGTAAACTCTGCAAGAATCACCTATTGGATATTATAGGTTAGGGAAATGGTTGAAATTTGTTAGACAATGTTAGTTTATGAGCCGTGAACTAGAGATCGCGTCGCGTGGCGTCGCGTATAGCTTTATGAAAGTCTCGATGCGACGTCGTTGCCTTTGATGCGACACTAAATTCCAGAGGTTCGACGTCAACGAGGGTTGAAATTGACGAGACGAAGGAATACTCCGAGTTAGCGATAAATATCAAGTGCCAAGAATGAAGTTTATGACCCCGTGGTCGTCGTTTCTTTAATTTCAGAAATTGGGGAAAATTAGTGGGTGCGCTGTGGTTCACGGGAACTGCTTCTGTGTTTGAAATGAAGCAAAGTGAACGTTTGGTAGGATTTAATCTGATATTAGTCCGTAATTAGAGCCTCTTCTTCATTGCATTTTCATAGCATATTTAGAGAATATTAGAAGAATAGAAAATTAATTTAGTAGCTAGGAGATGAAGTTAACACTTGTCAGAGACTAAATTTTATCATAAATTTATTTTATTATTTTATTAGAAATTAAATTGTCCCTGTAAAAGGACCTCTACAGAGTATATGGATTAAGGGGTATAGATACGGAATTTCTGCTGCAACTACTACTATTTACTACTGTTCCTATTACTATATTACTATCTCTACTACCATTACCACTGCTTACTACTGTCCTTATTACTATGCTACTATCTCTACTACTATTAATACTACTACTACTGCCTCTACTACTACTACTACTACTACTTGCTATCTTTGCTACTGCTGTCTCTACCATTACTAATTACTATTTCTACTAGTACTGACTCTACTACTACTGCTACGACTGTCTCTACTACTACTGTTACTACTACCTCTACCGCTACTGCTACTACTGTCTCTACCATTACTACTATTACTACTGCTACTACTGTTTCTGGCACTACTGTTACCACTACCTCTACCACTACTGCTACTACTGTCTCTACTGCTATTACTACTACTGCTACTACTGTCTCTACTATTACTACTACTATTACTACTTACTGTCTGCACTACTACTGTCCTTAGTACTACTGTTACTACTACCTCTACCACTACTGCTACTACTGTCTCTACTATTACTACTACTACTACTACTACTGCTACTACTGTCTCTACTACTACTGTTACTACTACCTCTACCACTACTGCTACTACTGTCTCTACTATTACTACTACTACTGCTACTACTACTACTACTTACTGTCTGTGCTATTGCTGTCTCTACAACTACTGTCTTCTATTACTACTACTATATTGGAGTATTCGCAATCTCTGGCAGCGTTTCAGGCAATATGGCGCCGTAAAAGAACCACGCTTTCCGTTTGCGTTCGCGTGCGTTTGTCGAAGATAAATGGGTATCTGTCGCCTGTCGTTCAATCTGCTTTCTGTGCATCGATGACGAATTCTCGCGGATACGTTTTTGTCCGTAAACACTCGTTCCCTGTACACTCGGTGCACGTTTCGAATACGAGTACGTATGCAGGTTGACAAACGGTCGCAGACATCTGCAAACTCCGCACCATTACAATTTTAGCTACATTCGAACGTGGAAATTCCGTGTTTCCATTCATTCCTGCAGGAAAATCGCGCAGAGAACATACTGTGCATCCGCGATTCGCCAATAACAACGACACGTGTCTTGATTTATACCCCCATTAAGACCTCGAATAAACGTACGTACTCGTTAACGGATCTGTACGTCTGCCATGGTACACACTTTTGACAAGTGCAAATTTGTACAGATGAATAAAGCATAATTTCAACCAGTGATTAAATTGTCACGCGTGAATTCTGAATTCGGAGAAAGAGACGGAGGAAAAATTCAAATAAATATGTAATCACGGGAAAAATTAACCCTTTGGTTAGGTTAGGTTGACGGGCCCCGCCGCGGAACCCCTCCCGTGGAACGAAGCATTCTTTAGCATTCGGGGCCCAGGTTTTTGTCCCAAAAACGTCATTGCGATACTACTTTTAAGAGCAAAATAATTTGCATTCATACGAATATATTTACAATTTTTCCACGAACGTATTTTTAATTAAACGGTACGAGTTCTAGATCTAATTGTAGATTTGTTGTTGTAGAATCAAGCAAGCAACATGGTCGACCTGTAGAGAACTGTAGCCCTGACTCGACGTTAGTCTCTCGTCACCCCTCGCTGTGGCATCTGCTGATCACAGTAGTATAGGAATGGAACGAGTGCGGCCATGAGAGAATGCTAAGAGCGTTTGGGACATAGGAGGAAAGTGACTGCGTGCGAGAAGATCGAAAGCCTAAGAGGAGCGAAGATTTTGGAGTACATCCTGCGTGTTTGAAGCACCTGGCCCACCAAGGGCGAGGTCGCGTGACAAATGCATGATCGAGGAAGAGAACCTGTGTATGAAAGAAGACCGAGTGTAAGGTTGAATAAGATTGTAAGAGTGCGAGCAAGGTTGTAATCAAAAAAGATGTGTTGTTAACGTGTCGGATTGGGAGTATGAGAGAGTTGTGAGAGGTCAGTGACAGCTGACAGCGTGGCAATGTGTGAAAGAGAGTGAGAGCGTTCGAGAGATTGTATTAGCGAGTAAGGTTAAGCTTAGCATACTTGTTATACCCGAAATGTTATATTAATTATTAATTACTAGCGATGCTGTGTGCGAATATATGTATTTATCCCGTGACTCCCTCCTCCTATCAATTCCACGCTAGGCCACGAGACATGTCAGTGTACAGACCTCCTTATAGCGATTAAATACGTGATTCACGCAAGTAAACGCTGTCCTGCGTCACGTTATCGTCCAAATTTCAGTACCTTTGCTTCAACGAGCCGTTAAATCTGCATATTGCGAGAAGCGAAAGAGCAAACAGCACGTGTTAACTTCATCAATAAACCAGACACTTTGGCCCAAGCATATTTTGTTTCCACGCTCTAATTATCCAAAAGTCCTGGCAGCTTCTGTTGTTTGTAGCCGTTACGTACTTTCCATTATTTCCACGCACCTGCTCGTTCCCCTTTTCTTCCGTTCCCGCGCTTTTAATACCAGCGTTGTTCCCTCTGCAATTTACGCCCTAAACACGCGACTCCTCCGACCTCGTTCCTCCTGCATTTTTCCTCTCTTTGCCCTCTTTTATTTCCATATTTCCCAACTCGCATTCTGCCGGCCAGCCAGTCGCGAATTCGCCACGTTACAAAGAACGTTTCGCGATTTCCACGAAAATACCTTGTTCCGCCATTTGCTTCCGCTCCAGGGACATCGTCGTGATTCGCGAATATTGCTCGCATTCGGGACTCGGAAGTGTTGTTTCAAGAATTTTTCACCGATGTAGGCTATTCGCCACTGAAATTCCGGCGAGAACGGAGAGGAGAGAGAGAGACCGTCGAGAAGTTGTGCCACGGAATTTTTCAGCCACTTCTATCGAATTGCCAAGAGACATTCCGAGAATTCGACATTTTATTATGGCGTTTAGGTGCTTTCTTCTCTTCCCTCCATTTTTGCTTCGGTCACGATAGAAATTCGATGTCAATGTATCGTGTCTTTAGTGGATTCGATTGAATTAAAATTTACAGAAATCAGAGGGTGTTAGAAAATAGACTTAACCGCACTGATTTCCGAGGGACTCGTATAAAGGCGCTGAAATATCGGATAGCGATCGCGTTAATCGTGGCACGTGACCGTCGATAAACAACCGGCGTTGTTTCACGCGAAAACCCCACGGTTTCTCGTAAATCGAACGTGGAGAGGTTGGTTAAACGAAGATATCGGCTGCTTTACCATAAAAGCTAGCTTTATTTCCGCGAAACAACGCGATAACGTTTGGCCGCGAAGTTCTCGCTTATAAAAGCAACCGCGTAAATTGGCCAAAGGCCACGGAACTTCCGTTCGCTGTTGCCTAGATCGGAGATCGCGGGGCGTGTCATTTCCGCTGTGTCTGATTGGATGAGGCGAGGGATTTTATGATTCATGGAAAAACTTCATCGGATGTATCGATCGACGAGAAAATTGTAACGCATGTATGACTGATGCGACTGAGGTCCATTGTCGGAAAAATGAATGCTTTGGAGAGTGTTGGGTATCGAGTATCGTCTGATTGTTGGATATTGTTTCGTTTCATATCGGTTCACTCTATTTTCTGCGATGGTTTACTCATTGGTAATTTGAGGTAGTTTACGTTGGATCGATAGCATAGCCAGATGAATTTGTGGTGGAGCTATTGGTGGGATAAATATTCATGATTAATGACACGAGTAATCAAGTGGAAGGTTTCA